GAATATGGCTATAAAGTAAATCCAATTGAGCATAGGGTGTGTCATTTCCGCGATCCGAGAGCCCCAGTATGACATTCAATCGTCTGACAGGAAGATGGCGAGGGTCAGAAACGTATTTCATCACCACAGAGGCATATATGAATTGTCCAGATGATCTGGCTACCAGAGTATTTACAGCAGAATCACTGGGCCAGGCGTCAGAAAATGGGCGAGCGGAGTGAGATTGCCTAATGTCTGTGAATTTACTCCGGAGAAAGAGTTCAATGTCCTTGTCGGGATCAAACGTGTCATCGAGGGCGAGGCGAGTGGTAAGTGAGTTGAGGCTTTCGACGTTGAACGCAGTTCTTATCGCCTGCTCCGGTCGACTATCTACCAGAATACAAAAAGGTATGTTTGACTGTGATATTGCAACAGAAAGAGCCTCAAGAATCGATGCTTGAATTTCGGGTTTTAGACATTCATCTAGACCATCGATGATGATGAGCTGCGGCCAATCTTGGATAGACGCAGTTGGTAGGCGCTCAAGTAATGTCCGACAAGGCTGGACAATCAGGGTTTGTATCTGTACATACAGAGATCGGGAAAATATCGTTAAATCATTTTCTATCGCAGCAGCGATGATGGGCTTGATCGGAGGAATGTTTAAGGCTATCTGATATACTATCGTTGCAAAAAGATGCGCTTCGGTGTTACGTTCAGCGACGGTGCGAGAGAAGAAAAACGCAGCGGAAAGGTTGTTTTTGGCCTCGCAAAGCTCAGCAATACTCTGCGCAATTGCAGATTTCCCGGCTCCTGCAGGTCCATAGAGCCACATGATTGGGGAAGCACGGCTTCTGTCCTCGACCCATGCAATTATCGTCTGTAGAACAGCCTTTCTCGTTTCTGGGTGGCATTTTGGTGGATCGAAACGTTCGCTTGAATTGTGGAATGCTCCAGGAGCAATTGATGCCCGTAGATATTCAAATCCTACGATCAAATATTGGAAACCCGTTATTGAAGAATCTATATCCCTACTTGCCGTTGCTATTCGTTGTGGACGTATTTGGAGTATTTTGTTGGAACTGGATGTCATACTGAGTGAGACCGTTGATAGTGATGTTATTGGCACCCCAGAAAGACATTACGGTACAATGCGTCCTCGTATTCAATAGCAAGCTGAGAGTGTCAGATTCGTCGAGCTTGAAGGACGAGCGCTAGATACAACAGGGCCTGTAGGCGGAGGCTGTGCGAAGGCGCTAAGTCAGACAACGTCCGAGATAGCTACACCTGATTGTTCCAAAACATGATCCACGGCATATCAAAATTCCATGAAGTTAAAGCTAAGGGGACTGTGCATAAAATAATAAGTGCCCCCTTGGCAATATTAGCCTACGTCTCATTCACCGCTTCAATTATAGCTTGTCTCTATTTGGCAACTCTCAGAAAGCTGAACAACCGCGAAGATCAGAGAATCAGTAAGCGCTCAATTTAACCAGAACATTCTGGATCTAATCACTCAACGTAGACGGGCTAGCATAACATGCCCAAACAACTCGCTCATCGCAGCTTTCCCTTCCACCACCACTACTACACCCAATGTCCGACGAAACACCCGCCCCAGAGATTCAAATCAATGTTAAAGGTGCGTTCAGCAGCTGAATTGAACTTATAGTTAAAGCTAAAACTGACATTCGGGAACAGGACCCAGTGAGCTGAAGCTGCAAATATCGATAACGACGGATAAGACGGTGTTGGAGCTCAAGCAGGCGATTGCGGCAAAGTCAGATGTAGAGGCGGAAAGGCAGAGGTTAATTTATTCTGGTGCATTTGCGTCTCATATCTGTTCGTGTAGACGTACTAATCGAAACCATAGGACGTGTACTAAAGGTACGTTGGTTGAAACCCGTGGAACGTCTTGCTTATTCACCCCTTTGGTGCTATAGGATGAAGACCTCCTGTTAGTATACAAGATCCAGTCATCACACACGATACATATGGTCAAGGGTGTCGCTCGGAGCGGTGCTTCGTCATCAACACCCGCGTCATCAACCCCACAGCAACTCCCGACCATGCAGGCCGGCCAGAACGTACATGACCCTCTGACGCAGCTGAACGGACACATGGGGTTCGGCGCAATGGCGGGATTGAACCCATTCGGTGATATGGGGTTGAATCCCAACGATCCGAATATGGTGAGTCTCGTTCATTTCTTCTACCGCGCCATTCAGCAGTTACATTTGCCTGCCTGGCCGTTTTCGTGGTTACTCTGTCGCACTTCTTGGCATAGGCGGCCAGCACCTCCAGCGTATAGTTTGCGTGACTTAGTGCCGTTATTCTCGTCCTTTGTTATCTGCGCCGTTCCAACCAAATCCCACACGCTAACCCTCTGCCTGCAGATCCAAGGAATGATGTCGAACCCCCAATTCCTGCAACAAATGTCAGCCATGATGTCTAACCCCGCCGTCGTCGACCAGATGATCGCGATGAATCCGCAGATGCAGGCAATGGGACCCCAGGTGCGGGAGTTATTCCAGAGTGAAGAGTTTAGGCAGATAATGTGAGTTTCTCATACTTCATTCCACGTTTCTTCGTTCTCCCCCGATTCTGCTCGGCTTCCCAGTTTTTGCCTTTGCAGTCTTCGCCTCCCCCACCTGATCCTTCCATCCCCCTGCGTAACCCGAACGCTAACATGTACCTATCTCACAGGTCCGATCCCCAACGCCTCCAACAAATGATCTCCATGGCCTCCATGCTGCGTGGCGCCGGCGCAGGTGGCGCGAGCCCATTCGGTGCTTTCGGTGGTGGCGCAGGCGCAGCGTCCTTCCCTGCCCCCGGAAACCCCAACGCTTCTCCAACCTCCACCGCCTCACCTTCAACCACCACACCATCAACAACGTCACCACCAGTCGGCGGTGCCCAGGCGAACCCGTTCAACCTCTTTGGTGCTGGCGCTGGTGGAGGAGCAGCAGCAGGAGCAGGTGGTGCGAACCCATTCGGTTTCGACCCCGCGATGATGCAGCAACTTTTGGGCGGGGCTGGTGCTGGATTTGGGGGTGCCGGTGCTGGAGGAGCCGGGGGTGCGTTTGGTGGGTTCGCCCCCGCACCTGCGCCGACTGATACCAGACCTCCTGAGGAGAGGTTCCAGGTGCAGCTGCAGGTGAGTCGATGTTTTATTTTGCATTCTTGCTGTGTCTTGCTGGTGCAGTGATCCCCGTTGTTGCTGCATGAGCGGTGGTATATCTCGAGGCTCTTTTTTGTTGGACTTGAGCACTGTTAGCTGCCTACTTTATGCTCTTTACCTTCGTTACCTCTTCATATATCGTGACCCACGCTAACCCCAATTATCCTTCTTCTGTAGCAACTGCAAGACATGGGCTTCAGCAACGCGTCGCAGAACGTGCGCGCGCTGCTTGCGACGGCCGGGAACGTGCATGCCGCGATTGAGTATATCCTTGGTGGTGGGGGGCTCTGAGGAGCTGTAGATGAGTGACAGTAAGCAGACGGCTAGGAGAGGTCAAGGACAGTAATGCTAAACCGGGAAGTGTATTATTTTACTCTCATCAGTACTACGCATGGACGTCGATAAACTGAAATTGAAGTGCTTTCTTTTTGTAACTGTAGTATCGGAGTATAAGAAGACACGTATGCATATAGGTGTGATACACAGAAGATGGATAACCTGCGTTAGCTCATTACAGTCTTGGTTGTTCCCCGGAGAGACGGTCTATGAACACTGCTCGCTATCGAACTTTGAACTTAGCTTTTTACTTTACATTCTATGGAATTCGAAATGGCGGGTGAAACATTGCCTTGTCAGTGGCTCCCATATCAACTTCACGCACAGTCCCACTGACAGGTCCAATCTCTCCCACTCAACACATTCCAGCCGCTTCGAACTATTTAAATTTGTATAACAGCTTTAGAAACAGGCGACCGATTCATCGGAGAATATGACGTGTGCTGTGTCTTCAACGATTTTTCCTGCTAGCCATTAAACAAACAAATGTTTAATCAGAGCGATACGTACATCAGTGGTGTTGCGTCCTATAACTCTCTTCCTCTAACCCAATCTCGCGAGCCTCTTGGGTTAACTCGCAAGGCCCGCATAAAAACGAAACGAATATGTCCCAAAGTTCGTTACCTCGAATGCTATATCGCTGGCGCATCTCTCGTCGCGATAGCATCTAACTCCTGTTAAAATGGTATTGGTGAAGAATAAGTTAACATGGACCGACGTGTAAGACCCAACCACCACCCATACTCGTAATGAGTGCTTCAGCAGCGCAAGCTCGCGTCCAGAAGGGGCCGCCGTTCTCGGGGTCGGAGGCATTGTAGTGCTGAAGATGTTCAAACCTCTGCTCGATGCGAGTGTGTACAGACCATGGGCAGCATAGTGCCACCAAACCTATTTGATCTTTGGTTAGTCGTGCGAGATGATACGCTACAGACGAGAACGCACAGATTCCGCATTCATTAAAGCAACCAAAAAGGCTGTAGCTCCAGCTCCTACCCTCATGTTTCACAGGAAGGTTCTTGACATTTCGATTACCTCCGACCGGGTTCAAGGACATTGCAGGAGTGCCGTTAGGCTGTCGAGTAATAAATCCGAGTTCTTGAGTCTGAGTCGCAGGGGCATAAGCGTTACCTCCTGGGCTGGGCATTATAGCCTCAGTGCCAGTAAGCGGATTAGACTGCATATCAGAAGCCCCTCTTTCATTACACTCAATTTTCTGGACGCTAGTGGTCATCGTTGGGAAGTGAAACCGAGGGGTAAACTACGCATCATCGAATTGAAAGTAAATTCAGTGAGCATCATGATCTAAAATATCGAAATTGATCGCGAGGAAGGTGACTAAAATAGACTAATTCATACAGGCCGCTAATTGAAATAAAATATGGAAAATTGAACGACAGAAATATAATTCGAATGTTTAAAGGGCGTGTTAGCTCAAAACATGTCATTAAACGAGTAAACCAGGCCTCAGTCCCAGAATTGATGGTTGTAGAGAATATAAAAGAATAGGTCCTGCCCGGGTTCGAACCGGGGTTACGAGAAGAGGTGGCTAACGACAACTCGCTGTTCCTCAAAATCTCGAGTGATAACCACTACACTACAGGGCCACTGTATTTATTGGAATGTTAGATGTAGATGTCCTTACACACATGAGTTTATTCTAGTCGAGGGGGCCACATATTGAATCTTCATTTATAAATGCATTTGGTAACGTCTGAAAATGGCTTCTCCCGAAGTCAAGCGCTCTAAGAGATCGCTCTGCTGCAAATCGAATGCATGTAACAGACGTCATTCTACTCGCCGAGAGGAAGTAGAAGTCTGCAGCGGTGCTGACGTTCACCTTACACGATCTTGACACGACCTACCATGGGTCGTGAAATGAAAATTACGACGTTTAGTAAGTCATATTGGAAACTGGGGTTGTGAGTTACCATGTCGTCTCGACTTTCAGTTAAGTGGTACTATACAATAGAGCGGGAATATATCATTTTCGGTACAATGGTTTCATGGGACGCATGACACGCTGATAGCTATATTAATGTCCGTACGAATCATCATAAAACCTACTCGCGATTATACAGGCACCTTCTCTGAAATGGGCATCACTTCATTTCGACTCGTTCCACTTGAATTTCTGCTTTGCTCGTCATTTAGTGTAGCAACTTCTGGAACGTCTCCGACTAGAGCAGGTATGCTATTGGTAGCAGTAGCGAGCATAAGAACGGTGCTATTATAAAGAAGCAGACTATCAGCGAATGTTTGTAGTAATCGAAGGGATTTATCAAACCTCGATAGCGTGCCAGCGACTCCTAGCCACAGAAGAATTATATACGCAACGTTTATAGGCCAAGACCCATATTCTGTGCCCAAATGTCAGTATCATTTATATCAGAATGGATAGAATCGTAATTACTTAGCGGAGGACGGGGAAACTCGGCGACATATTGCTGCACAGTCGAGTCCGAAACTCCCGTAATACGTTCAGAATGCATCGACACAATCACTGTACTCATGATAGCTGCTGCAGCCATACCCATTGTCGTCAGAAGCGCCAATGCCTTCTTTGTGCGGTTCCACCGCCTTGAATATACGCGTCCAGGCCAGAATAGAATCAGGAAATATTCAATTCCGAATACGGTCGAAACTAAGGTACACAGAACGACAGAGAAAATAGCGGCGGCGATGAAGTCATTATTGTGAACTTGTGCTGTATGCATCGAGAGATCCTCGATGTGGGTTTGATGGTGCTCGTATTTGAAGACTGAGAACATTGCAGATCCCTGTAAAGTGAAGATATTTAAGTATACGAACTGGATGGACGGTCTAGTACGTACCTGGGCTGCGAGGCATAGTATCATGGCAACTGTATAAATTACTGGATGCCTCTTAAACTCGTTGAATTTACTTTTTGGCACGAAACACTTACCGAATCGTTCTCGTCGAAGATGCCACCGCGCGTCGAACATCTTCTTGTAGCTCATATCATCCCAGCTCATCTCAGAGAGGTCAAACCCATATAGGACGGCCATTTCGATATTATGGATGATATGCAAGACGAAGAGCTAAGAAGGAAGAAAGACGGACAGTGGCAGAGGACGAATCAACTGTCGAAAATCGACATGCATGTTATAGGCATGTTGTATGCGTGTGTGAATAACCACTGCCTGCGACTTTCAGACGCGAATAGAACAGATTCCCAAGCTAATTCCGCGAATGGACGTCGAGATCTATAAATGGACGACGTAGTACTGCGCAGCAAAATTCAAAGCCAACTAAGGGCTCTATTTCAGCTGGTAGATTTCTTACCCATTGATAACGAGGTGTGAATAGCCATGCCGTATTACAGCATTTCATTATTTCAGTCCACAGAAGAGGTGTTAAATAGAATTAGCCGAGTAATTAAATCTGAGAAGTTGGAGATTCGTGTATTTGCACACATACCAAATTTGTAACACCATGTTTGCTACGAGAGAACGAAAATAGATAGTTCTCTAGTCTGTTGAGACTCCCACCTTCCGCAGTGTAAACTACACGACTTCGAGGATCCGGTAATTCATGTAAGAGTTAGAAGCATACATCCTGCCAGCAGGCAACAGTAAAGCGCAAAAGGTACAAGTTATGATTGGAGTAACAGAGTGTGCAAGCAGAGGTCAATGGTCCGTGCGGCATGTGCAAATGCTGACATAATGGGATTCTGACACACATGTGATGTCTAAGTATCATCGGCAACCGCGGTCAGTCATACTGCTTCAATTTTCGCCTGGCGAGGCTAGGCAGCGCGCCCTTTCTTTCTGTCAGTCTTACAGCATCGGCGCGAGCAAGCTCGCCATCATGAAGATATTCTTTTGCCATTTTCCGACTACCTCTGAGAAATTTCATTGTTGCGGACATTACCTCTGCTAATCTTTCGTTCGGATATTTGATGGGTGAGCATGTATAGTTAATTCTTTTACCATGGATCCCTAACGTTCTGCCTCAATCTCAGATTTAAAGGCGCTTCCGCTTCTGCCCGACGGCCATCTCCTAAGTTGGAAATTATGCGCTTCTTCACACATGTCTGCTTATACAGTCGGCCACATTCATCATCTGCTGACGAAGGAATATTGCCAAAGACGTCGGTACATAACCTTGAATTTTTTTTACTTATCCCGTCGCAGAAACTTATTCCAGGTTCACTTCATCCTTGCTTGCTGTCATCTGAGTCATAATTACTTCAGATATGTGCAAAAATTTGTCATCCACGTTACAAGCTAGCGGAGAGGATTTCTGGCGTAAAAGGACATTCAATGCTATTGAAACGGGGATGGATCTATTGGAGGAGCAGGCGCGTCAACAAGGAAGAAGATTGGAAGCGGAAACGAGAAGAACGGATACTAAGGTCCCTGCGTACAGAGAATACGTTCATAGGTACACTCATCTTCCATATTCATTAAGTGACGAACTGGCTTGCGTCTGGCTTGGGTCAGGACGGCATCCAGTTGAGGGAATTGTGAAATAGAAGTAGAGTGGGCGGGCGTCCAAGAGAATCATGATAAGCAGCCAGCAGGTAATCTTAGTGTTGGCAAAGTTCGGTTCCGTTCGATTCTTGATCTTTTTCTCTGAACCTAGAACCAGACTTTGGGTTCAGTTCAAGCACTTTGCCCGAACTTCGAACTGAACGTGCAGTTCAGGTTCGGTTCCAGTTCGAACGGGTTCGAACCGTATTTAGCAGAGTTGCAGACAATTTATAATTTTCTTCTTAATCTGAAGATTAATAATTATGAAGTCGAAATTTATTGATTACCCTTGGATGAAAAACGTCATCAGAGTGAATTAGTACTCCGTTTTTGAGCATGAGAAGCGCCTAACGAGCCTTTACTAATTACAGTGTGATGCTAAAAATAGATATTGTCACTGCAACTTGGTAGTTTTAGCTAATAAAACAGTAGATAATGATTTGAATTTGCAAACCCGCTCTCATACAACTTTAGAATATAGAAAATACCAGAATTTATTGCATAAATGTGTCTTTTCTTGTAGAATTTTTCAGATTCCACTAGGAATCGGTTCAGGGTTCGAACCAAGTTCGAACTTTTTTTAAATGCAATGAACCCCAAACCAGACCATAGGTTCAGTTCAACCAAACCTCCAAAAATTGAACTGAACTTTGCCAACACTAGGTAATCTGTGGGAGGTATGGTAAATGAGAAGGGGAATCGGGCGTTAAGTAGGAAGTAGTAAAATAGACAGACTGGACGTTAGGAGGACGCACCAAACCCTGAGCCAATCGACGCCCACATGAGTACACAACGTCTGTGCTTTAGTTCAATCTTGACTCTAATTTCAAACTTTCCTCGAGTGCATTGCCTCTTCGAATCAAGAAAAGCGACGGAAAACACCTTTCCAGACTTGAGGGTGGTGGGAATTTAAACGCTCATGCTTACAGCTGATCTCAAAATGTTGGACCAATTTTGTTCGCGTTCTTCTTCGGTGGTTTTTGGAGTAAAATGGGGGCAAACGTATTCAAAACGTTACGTAATTTCTTCGGCCCGTGTTGAGGGGCGGAAAATTTGATAACTACCTTATGGCTAACAGCTAACTCGGATTCGATAGACCAGATCCCACTTTTTTTCACTGTAGAAATCATGTTTACTTTTGGAGCTGAATAAACAAATGTGTCCCACCTAGCTTAACCAAAAGGGTCAACTACCAGTGCCAAGCTTGCTGTGTTGCTCCTAGGGCTGCACGCCATCGCCGTACCGTGAAGCAGATCAGCTTCCTCTTCACGGTACGGTTACGGCACGGCTTATGGACGTGTGTAGCCGTGAAATTTACGGCCGTAACGGCAGTATACGGCACTACGGCAATACATTTATATTTCTGGTAATAATCTCACAAACTTCGATAACTTATGATGCCTTTTTTATACCATCTCCACCAACTCCAGCATCGAGATACATCGTAGAGATGCCTCTTGCAAAACATCTTAACTCTATCATTTTTATGTATAGGGAGCTTGTAAGCCATTGTATTTATAATAATAACAAATATCTAACTTCACCATCTCAGTGCTTACTCTTCGCATTGCGTATTCTATCCATTGCCGGTGTGTAAACCCTCGCTACGCTATTGATACTGCTTTGTAATTCGTGATCTTTTATTTCATTTTACATATAAATATATTTACAGAAGCCGTACGGCCGTTAACCTGCCGTGCCGTACCGTCAGCCAATTGAAAACGATTCGACGGCACGGTTATAGCCATCCCGTAACCGTTAATAGCCGTCATTCTACGGCCGTGCAGCCCTAGTTGCTCCTCATTGGCCTCGCCAGCAGATGGTTTTAGTTAGACTCGGAATTAGGTGGAGCACTTTTATTTGTTCAGCTCCAGAAGTAAACAAAATTTCTACAGCGAAAGAAAGTGAGATCTGGTCTATCGTTTCCGAGTTAGCTGAAATACACGAGGAGTGAGCCACTCATTGAAATTTAGAGTTTTCTATTTGTACAGCTCCATGAACAAACAAAATCAAATGAAGAACGCGAACAAAAGATTGGTCTAATGTTTTGAGATCAGCTGTATCAACTGCCTCAAGCCACATCGTGTGACAGCATCAATGGACTGAACACG